ATGGCTAGTTATTATTATTGGCTTGTCGTGCATAGTAGCATGCTCAAAAGTCGCATGTATTAGAACAGCACACATAGTGCTTATTGGGTTTCTTTCTATCTCATAAGTCAGACCCGCAGGCCGCAATAATTTTTTTCCATACCTGCATAACCAAAGAACAGCATGAGACTTAACTTCGGAGTTGACGTGAGCCGCGGGCAGGGGCTTTGTTAGACGTGTCGCGTTTGTTTACCTTCACCATCTCGTTAGTATCTTAAGTCAGCAACAATTCGTGTTTTTATCGCATAAAATAAAATAAAATATAAATTCTAGTTTTTATCAAATTTGTAATAGTACATATTTACCCTTCTGCTTCCGCAGAAACATATTTTGTGTTCTGTTTCCGGTTCCATTATAACACTTCCATTGCATCAGTAATCATCGCACCAAATGGGTATTTTCTACTATTTCTTCCCTCCACTCTCCTACCTCCCACATCTTGTATGTATTATTCCTTTATATTATGTTCTTTATTAGGTTATTGCTTTCTATGCCATCTTTCACTGTCGCCTTTTCTTTCGGAAGCCTTTTTAATTGGCCCCATCTCTTGCCTAATTTTTCATTGTCCCCTCATCTACCCTTCTCTGCTTTTCTTATAGCACCTTGATAAAGTGCTTTTGTCAGTTGTAGCTGTATTTTTGTTCTTCCCATCTTCTTGTATTTTCCCCTTACTTTATTTATTAAGAATACTCTGTTTTGAATCCCTTGATTTCTTTTTCATATTCTCATACACACGCCGTTCCCTTTCTTTCCATCGTTGTTTTGTATCTATTTTTCACTTCCATAATTCCCATGATCCATCATTTTTTTCTTTATTTGTCTTTTTTTTGCATTTCTAGTAGGTATTTGCCTACATCCTTCACCTTCTTGTGCCACTCTTCTATATTCTGACGTTATATTGTGCTTCTCGTTTGTCCGGCCTTTTTTTATAATTCTTGACACTTTCTTGGTTCATATATCTGTACTGCTTTTCGTTTTTGTGTCGTTAAAACGTGCTTACTCATCTTATTTTTCTTTATAAAACGATCGCTATAGCTAACTAGAGATTGGATTCCATTGTTGTTCCTACCTATATCTATTTCATCTATATTGTTATTATATAATTTATTATAATGCGGCCGCCTTCCCACTATCATATGCGTATTGTCCTTTATGTGCACCTTCCATATGTTTGTGATTATCCTCCCTACTCTTTCTGTCCATCTAATAACAATTCTCCCTCTCGGCTGCATTCTTTATCTATTGTTGATCCTTTCCCATTGATACTATTCATAATCCCCCCTGACCCCCTAATTATCATTTTTTTTTAAATCAAATAAATAAAAATTGTAAATCGTTAATCGTTATCTCTCATTATTTTTACTCTACTTCCTAACTAATTGTTATTGCACCACTTTTCGTTCTTCTTTTTTTATCCCTCTGCGGATTAGTTATTTTATGTCAACTCTTTGGGTATCCCATTCTTCATTTTTTCATCATTTTCCAGCAATTCTACTACATACTTCAAATCGAGTTCAACATCCCAGAAATGTATTCTTACTACCTCTACCGCGCTCCAACATATAATCTTTGTGCTCTTTTTCTTGCGTCTCCCCTTTTCTCTCTATGCCCAATATCCATATATTTTTTTCCTCAACGTCTTCTCGGTTATCTGATTCTGTTTTCACCAATCAATTTTGTTTCATTTTACTTCCATTGTATTTTTAATAATTCAGAATTACCTATTCCCATCTTACTTTCTTCCTCCTTTCGCTCTTCGCCACGTTTCTTATCTTTCACTACCAGAGCTATACTTCTTCATCTCGAATCTACAAAATATATTGCTGCTCTTCAGTAGGTATATAGTACATACTCATAATTTTGCCACACTTCTTCGATATTTTGAAAAAAATTAATTGACGTTTTTAAACAGTTCAAATATTTTAGTAACAAAGAGAGCTATATAGAAAAGAGTTTCAAATAAAAGTTGCAAGATGCGATGGGATGTAGAAAAAAATTTTCAAAATGGCGGTTTTCGAGATATTGACATCGGATTTTTACGTCACTCGATAGAGAAAAAAATTACAAAACCAGTAATATTAATATTTCATTTGGGAATCAAGCTTGCATTTTTGCTTTGAAGTTTACAATGTATTTCTTTTGGCAATAATGACATGGCTGGTTCTGATTGAAACTAAATTCGTTCGTTTATTGTCTCGCCTAGTCAACCACGGCACGGCCATGGAATTATTGCCATAAGAAATACATTGTAAACTTCAATGCCAAAATGCAACGTTGATTCCCAAATGAAATTCTAAAAGTGTTTAGTATCACTGGTTTTGTATAATAATATCAAAGATGGCCATGTTATTCTACTCTATTTAAGAGGGCACTGGTCGTTTTGGATAGCCCATTATGTTCGATTAAATTTGCAACCCTATGATAAATAAAAAAGTCAATTTCTTTCTTAAGCCGTACACTTTTATTGGAAAATGTTCAGGACTAAGTGAACCTATGAATTTCAGAAACTTCAACATATACTAAACAATCTTTTGCAGTGAAGCTGAACATTTTGTAAAACAGCACCGCTTGCGACGCCACTGGTAACAAGACAAAAATTAATCGATCTGCTTTGTGCTTGTTGTGTTGCCTATACAGCCATATATTTTCAACTTGTGAACCAAAACCAAACTATTGCTGTATCTATACAGTAAGGGTTATCAATTAACGAATGTTAAGCAAAATCAGGGACTCTCTTTTAAATAAATTAACAAAAAAATACAAATAATAAACTTGGCGCAATCACATTTGTAAGGTTGGTAATAGCGCGACATTAGTGTAGGAATATAACCGAAAATGCGCATGTAGGAGCTGTCAGATTCTCATTCTACGTTTCCGCTGCTTCATCGTGAGCGGCTTCAGTGAGCAAGTGCAAGTAAAAAGATATAGCTTAAGATATTAATAAAATTCGCGTGTGCGGAGTTAGAATAATAATTTTTAAATCAAAATGAGCTGGCAGGATTACGTTGAAAAGCAGCTCTTGGCTTCACGTTGTGTAACTAAAGCTGCAATTGCGGGACACGACGGAAATGTATGGGCCAAATCAGAAGGTTTTGAGGTATGTGCCTTTAGTTTCTTTTACGTTAACGTTTAATCACGCAAAAATGACTCCGGTGCTATTCATATTTCTTACGATTTGGTTTGAATCAGGTTTGAGTCATTTGAGAACAATGACAGGTAAGGGCTGGGCTCTGAACATCTTAATGTGAGTTAAAAATTAGTCTTTCTTTAACAGTTTTGTGCCGTAGGTGTTGTTTTTGCGGGAAATTATCTTGTAAGGCCATTTTAAGGTGATTTCACCAGTTATATGCAGAAATTAATTGCTTCGTGAGACAATGCAGCCGGTTTATAATCAAGATGGCGGACACCGCTGAGTACGTGTATTTCGCGATTTTAGAGTTTATGTTGGCGATTATTTTTACTTGTTCAGGGAATGTATATTAATCTCGACGGTATTTGCACATTTTCGCTTTTGCCGGTCGTATTTCGCGTTATTCACATTTTGCGATTGCACCTGTAGCGATTTTACAATGGAGATTGCTTCATTAATTTTCAACTTTGCTTAATGATGGAAAGAAAACGAAGCTATGCCCTTACTAGGATATCGTTAATAATTCTAGATATTTTTAGAATGCGAGTTTTTAGATTTGAAAAGAAAATTCCCTACATCTGGAATATGTCGTTTTAGAAACTATTTTTATATCGACCAACCAGCAGAATTTGTTGTAAATGTTGTAAATTTATTGTTCGGGCATGATTAGCGAAAGTTATGTCTGAACGGCATAAACCCCGCCAGCATCTATTGATCGTATTTCTCTATTTGGCGGGTGGCGGTCAATGCGCTTTTGCAGCCTTCACCTTCATGTGCTCCAAGGTCCGTACGTTCTCTTTATAACACTGCAATGTTTTTTTTTCTCGATTGCCGGAAAAATTAAAAGAAAATGATATGTGGGTTATTTGCAAATCGCACCAAGTTCGATTTTATCCCAAAACTAAAACCTGTTTCGCAATGCCATGTCTGCCGTGCTTGTCTTTACATCAATATACCCGAAGCGCGTCTTCACGAACACATTTGGCCGAAAACAAAGGTCGGGGTTCAATTGTAATTCTTGCCACTGGAATTTGAGCTGGAATTAATGGTGTTTGTTCGCAGAAAATTCGAGGGTGGAACACAAAAAACACGTCGAGGGGCCGATGATCAACTGAACCGAATATTTAATGTACAACAAAAAAGTGTCTATGAGGATAAGACCAAATGGGGTTTTCAAGGTTATTGCTATGGCTTGCTGGAGCCCAATTTAAACATGTGCACACAATCCGTTTGAAAATTCTAATTTCAAAGACCTGCACGATTCTCAATTAATCTTGTTTTGTCTTTCGTTAGAGGTTTATGGTAGGTATAATACTACCTACATGCAATTTATGTTTAGTTCTTTTATAAATTGTTAAAGTCGGTAGCGTCTCGTCCACCTGAGTATGAAATTAGATCTTGTAACGGATATTGTCAGGGTGACATCCCTCAGGACTTCTTTATTTTTAGGAATTACCTACAAGTCTGAGTCAATAAATTAATGCATTTTGTTAATGCACTCAACATACCTTATGAAACCAGTTTCTCTAATGAGTCATTATTCAACAAAAACATTTGTAGATAGTGATAATATAATACAACTAATTCAATAAATGACCGTAAAACAGAATGTTTTCAGCGATTTCTTACTATATGAGTAAAAAGTTTAGTCACCTCACTTTAGACGTTTACAAAAAAAGGAAGATATTGGGTAGGAACGAATTTGATATGAATCACCATTTATTTATATGTGTTATTCTTGCCACCATGTATGAATCAATTTCAGTTTTCTGTACAGGGTGTCCCAAATTCGAAGATGACCATTGGAACCTCTATAACCGAGAGATACGAAGTCAGTTGAAGCAAAGCTATGTATTTTGAGACCGAATCAAAGCTGAAAAAACCGATATTCGCTAATTTTTAATTGCAACTCCCTACAAGCTGGAATAATTAGATTTTAAGTTGGACGTTTCGGTTTTTTTTGGGGCATCAACTTGATTTTTTAAATATTTTATATTTTGAGAGTTTCTGATTCTAGAGAAATAGATGTATCCCAATTGAAATTACCCTCTTCTTCAAGGCATTTAACGTTAATCCTTTTTGGCAAACTGAGCATTGCACGTTAAATAAGGCAGGATGCAAGCCCATCAGGCGACGAGTAGGCCCGATTAGAAAGTTGTAGTTTATGGCTCATAAAAAAGACAGAGTGAGCACTAATTTATCAAAAGGACATTCGCTTGTTTTGCGAGGGCTGGCCTGGGGAGGAGTGGAAGAATTAATTTGAAAGGATTAATAAAATCTTCAGTGCAGAGCTGGACATTGAACCTTGTTCTTGATGTTACTCTTTGCTTCCAAATTGTCAAAACGTTTATCATTTTCAATATGGTTGAAATTATAATTCTGAAGTTTTGCGGTTATGGTTAACATTTCAAAAAGATCTAAGTAAGAAAGTTGATATTGCGCTGTGTGATAACGGGCAATCAAAAATGAGTTGCTGTCGAGTCGCCTTTGGAAGTTCAAGTTAAGTACGATTGGATATCTAAATATTCTACACTAATCACACTAATATAGGTACACTAGAAAAGCTAAAGAGCATAGGATTTTACCTAAAAATTGAGTTAAGTAATTTGAATACTTATTTTAATATCAAAATGTCGAAAGTTGATATGGCGTGTCATGGTACACAGTGGGGTACAGTGGCGTATAGGGTTTCACCCAAAATTTGTTTCATCTTCTCTTACCCTTTCCGATTTTGTACATAATTTCTAAAACTCCGCCTCCATTGGCGTATGGGGGTGCAAACAGAAATTCAATATTCACGAAATTTGGGACTTTTCAACACGAAAGTAATGAACTCAAAATTAGATTTTCAAAATATTAGAATAGTTTTTCCACACGAATTACAAAAATTACGGGTAATTTGTCGGAATGGCCTTAACGTTCGTTACACTTGTGCTTTCCAATGAAGGTCTGCCACAGTCGAAGTCACTGATTTTTCTGAATTGTCATTTTCAAATAAGTATTTAGAATACCGAATTTCGTCCTCGATTTCGTCCACATGAGATTTTTTGCTGCAGCTCGAAGGAAATCTTTCGTAAACAGTTTTTGTACAGCGCGTTCGAGATAAGAGGGTCACTTCAATATCTCTTTTATTTGATGAGATATGAACTATTTGTCAAATATAATTATGTGACATTACGATCTATCCGATCGCATATTGAAAATTCCGGTTTAACGGGAAATCGATGCAATTTGTATTGCAAATGCAATGCGGATGTTGTTTTAAGATATTTGAAAAGAGCAATCAATTTGCTGTACGACAACATAAAATATGCATGTGGTTGATATACTCCGCCCTCTTCAAAAAAAAGTCGGATAAAATACTGTTTGATGCTTCTTGGTGTTCACCAAATGTTTCAGTTTGTGCAATTCTCGATGTGATGTTTCGTTTTCTTGCGATCATGATGACTTATTAAAATGCAGTAAAAATCTACTTTTATTGCCACAAAATCAACAAATTCTTAAGCGCCAACTAGTAGACTATGGAAAGGGCAAAGAATAGTCAAAACCGTTTCAGTTGTATCATAGACCAATGGTCTATGGTTGTATGCAAGGGTAACTAATCTGAACGTGCACTATTACAGTCAACTAGGTACTTGACCTTATGGCACATTATTGGAAAACCCATCAAACAGTGTTTTCCTCGGTCTTTTCTTTCACATCATATAACACATTTTTATACGTTCAGAGTATTTAGCAAAGTGCGGAGTATTCTGAGAATAAAACTCCGTTTTGTAGCGCATTTTTGAAAAATATAAAATTATATTCGTTATCGCTGGCTGGCTGGCTGTCCGGCTGAGATCTCGGCAATTACAATAGCTAGCCTTCAAATTTTCACTAAAAGCTTTCTGCTATAGTGTAGATGTGCAGGCTCTTGTCTATTTTGAGTTAGATTACTTGTGAGATCGATGATTTTTACCTTTACTAATAAAATACTTGTTTATAACTAGTTTTTACTTAAATTGGATTTAATTGTAAGTTTGCCGAATGTAAATTTCTTGATAAGAGCTACAGATATCACTATCACAAATAGAAATGTCGAGGTGGGGGCGGTTGGGGACAAGTAAATTGAGATGATACTCCATGTTTAAAGTGGTTGCTACGATTTTGAGCATTTTTGATATCTCTAATCGAAAAACAAATACGGCCGATTGCAAATTTTAAAATGGTCGCCTGATGTAAGAGTAAATATACAGAGTGCCCGTTTTTCGCGTTCGGTTATTTGAAGAGATGTATGTAATGTAATTTAAATTGGGGAAAATTTTGCTTTTTCTTGTCTATTTGTTACAAGTTTCTCGATAAAATTCTAACAAATTTCCATAAATAATTTTTCAACAGATTCGACATAATTCTTTTAATTTTTTTTCAAATATAATATTTACCGACGAGTGTAAGTTTATATACTCAGTCATGTTTAATCGTCGTAATGAGCACGTCTGGTCCATTCAGAATCCTCATGAACATCAAGGACGTCGACCACAAAGACGATTCGCTCTCAATATATGGTTGGGTTTATCGGTCCATACATGCATGAAGACACTTTACCTTCTAATGGATACTTGCAATGTTTAAAGACATATCTCACGAATTAGATTGACCGAGAGATTGATAATAATATTTGTCTCAACCGCTTGAATAACATCTGGTTCCAGCAAGACGGTGCTCCACCACATAACGCTAGAAGGGTAACTGATGATTTGTCACAATTCCCCCGTAAAGTTATGTTATCTCTAATAATGGAGACATACGTTCGCCGCGACGCTCGCCGGATATTTCTCCGTTAGACTACTATTTATGTGGAACTATGAAAAATTTTAACATTGCAACTGTTTATGCTTTCAAGAGTGTTTTCGTATATGGGTACAAAGTTATGGGTTTCGTTCAAGCTGCGAAAAGACAACGGTGTCGCATCAAGTGACGATTGTACC